ATCCCATTACTGGTATATACCCAAAGGATTATAAATCATGCTGCTATAAAGACACATGCACACGTATGTTCATTATGCACTATTCACATAGCAAAGACTTGGAATCAACCCCAAATGTCCATCAGGACAGACTGGATTAAGAAAATGTGGCACATATACACCATTGGAATACTAATGCAGCCATCAAAAAGGACGATGTTGTGTCCTTTGTAGGACATGGATGCCAGCTGGAAACCATCATTCTCAGTAAACTACTCACAAGAACAGAAAACCCAACACCGCACTGTTCCACTCATAGGTGGGACGAAAACATGAGATCACTTGGACCTCGGGAAAGGGAACATCATACACTGGGGCCTATCATGGGGATGGGGAGCGGGGAGGGACTGCACTGGAGTTATACTGATGTAAATGAGGAGTGATGGGTGCGACGAGTTGATGGGTGCCAGCACAGCAACATGGCACAAGTATACATATGTAAACAAACCTGCACGTTATGCACATGTACCCTAGAATTGTCTTAAATAATAATAATACAATAATAATAATAAAAATAAAAGAAAGGCCACTAGATCAGAAGTCAGAGACCCATGGTGGGTCTGGCTTGCCATTAATAAGTGCAATCTTGAATAAGTCTCCAATATTTCTTGGTCTTCATTTCTTGCCCAAAGATGGAATTAGATGTTTTTATGGGATTTTTCACTTTTAACCTTCTGTGACTTTATGACTATGTTATAGAAATGTATTAGATTAATGATTTTAGTGGTGTCACATAAGGAAAGATGGCATTCTGAAGATACTATTAACTGATGGGGCAGGCAGCTATAATCTAATCAAACAGTCAGTGAAATTAGAATTTGCAGTTATAATTTCAATTTGACCTTTCCACTCTAACTCTTTGTGTGCAGAATATAGGCTTTGGAGTTGAAAAGACCAGGTTCAAATACCAGTTCTGTCACTTATCAGCTGTTCAACTTGATGAGCTCATTTTTGATCCCTCGGTTTTCGTCTCTAGAATGGAGATGAGAATGTATGTCTTACTTTATATTGAGGGAGTATTGTATGAATATCATGGAATAAAATTTTTGAAAGCACTTTATAGGAGTAAAAACGACTATACTGATGTAAAGTATCAATACTGATTAAAAGGAGTAAAGTAGGAGGAAAAATAAAGCCTTTTTAGACTGCTTTGGGAAGATGGTTCAAGTCTCCAAACCAATATGAACCTTGACAAGGTTGTCATTTCTCTGATATTGGGGAAAGGACTTCTCAGAAATACAAGTTTCTTCTAATCACAAAAAGAGTACCTTGCTGCTATATAAGGTTGAAATAAAAAATAAAAGTCTTCAAAGTGCTTGAGAAAACATGCAGTTAGAACACTATGTGGTTTTTATTTAAAAACTTTATTGAGCAACTATAATGTATTATTTATTGTGCCAAACTCTTTCCAAATCTTGTCTCATTCATTTCTGTCTACAATGAGCGCCTTGCTGAACTCACATGTCACTTTTTCCCCATGTTCAACTGACATAGCCATTAAAACGTAAACGAATTTGAATAACCCGACAAAGGTCATCATGACTAGTAAGAAGGTAGAGATCTGATTTTAACTTATGGTTGTTTAGCAGATCAAAGCTCTTTCTCTTCCTTCTGCCGTATGCTACCTCCTATGTCAAAGAAAAAAATAACTTTTTTATAATAAATTGAGTTCCAACCTTGTGATAGACATCTGAATTACGCAGTCTACATAAACCCTTTGCAATCCTTGCACAGAACCTCTTCGATGTAAGTTTATTCTCATTTTAAAGAACATAGTTTGAAAGAAGTTTTCACTGTCAAGATGAATAGTGACACCTCAGCAAATTGGTTTAAAAATCTTTTTTTTTTAAATTACTATTGTTTAATTAATTAATTAATTTATTTATCTTATTTTTCTTTTTTTTTATTATACTTTAAGTTTCTAGGTACATGTGCATAATGTGCAGGTTTGGTTACACTATGCACTAGTATACTTGTGCCATGTTGCTGTGCTGCACCCATCAACTTGTCACACCCAACTACACTCAGTCATTTACCTCAGGTATAACTCGTGCAATCCCTTCTCCCTCCCTCCCATAACTAGGCCCGTGCTGTGAATCGTCCCCTTCCGGAGTCCAGCTGGATCTCATTTGTTCGGTTCCCACCCTATGCACGTCGAGCACACTGCGCGTGTCTTGGTTTTTCTGCTTCTTGTGATAGTTTGCGTAAGAATCGATGGTTTCCCAGCTGCCATCCATGTCCCCTACAAAGGACACAAACCTCCATCTTTTTCTATCGGCCTGCATAGCTATTCCATGGTGTATACTGCTGCACTTTTCTTAATCCAGCTTCCTGTCACTGATCGGACATTTGGGTTGAATTCCAAGTCTTCGCCTATTCGTGGCATCTAGTGCCGCAATGAAACATACGCTGTGCATGTGGTCTTTATACGCGCATGCATTCTAACTCAATCCGCTTTGGGTATATACCCACGTAATGGCGACTGGCTGGGTCATATGGTACATCTAGTTTCCTCGATCCTTGAGGAATCACCATACCTGGTCTTCCAATAATGGTTCGAACTAGTTTACCAATCCCACAACAGTGTAAAGTGTTCCTATTTCTCCCACTCCTCTCCAGCACCCTGTTGTTCTGACCTTTTTAATGATGCGCATTCTAACTGGGTGTGAGATGGTATCTCTAATTGTGGTTTTGATTTGCATGTCTCTGATGTCCCCAATACTGCATGAGCATTTTTTCCATGTGTCCTGTTGCGCGTCATGAATCGTCTTCTTTCTGAGAAATGTCTGTTCATATCCTTTGCCACTTTTTGTGGGTTGGTTTGTTTTTTTTCTCTGTAAATTTGTTTGAGTTCTTTCGTAGGCTTCTGGATACTTAGCCTTTGTCCAGCATGGTAGATTGCAAACACATTTCTCCCATCTCCTGTAGTGCTCTGTTCACTCTGATGCGTACGCTTCTCTTCTGCTGTGCAGCAAGCTTTTTAGTTTAATGAGATCTTTGTCAGTTTGGCTTTTGCTGCTGCTGCTTCTTTGGTGTTTTGACATCGAAGTCGTTTGGCGCCCACTGCTTCATGTCCTGGAAATGGTATTTACCTAGGTTTTCCTCTAGGTCTTTTATGGTACTCTTTCAGGTCTATACATTTAAGTCTCTAATCCATCGCCCTTTCGACATTTCCAATTTTCCGTATACACGGACGTAACGCGAAACCCGACTCCCAGCATTCAGCCCTTTCTACTTATGGCTAGCGCCACACTCTGTTCCCCAGCACCATTTATTAGAATATGCGGAAATCCTTTCCCATTTCTTGTCTTCTCTCAGGTTTGCTCAAAGATCAGATGGCTGTATATGTGTGGTCATTTATCTTCTGAAGGACTCGGTTCCTGTTCATTGGTCTATACATCTCTGTTTGGTACAGTACCCATGCTGTTTTGGTTACTGTAGCCTTGTACGTCATAGGTTTGCAAGTCAGGTAGCCGAATGCCTCCAGCTTTTGTTTCTTTTGACTCTAGGATTGTCTTGGAGATGCGGGCCCCTCTTTTGGTTCCATATGAACTCTTAAACCAGCTTCTTTCAATTCTGTGAAAGAAACTCAATTGGTAAGTGCTTGATGGGGATGGCATTGAATTCTCATCAAAATACCTTGAGCGTATGGCCATTTCTTCACGATACTTGATTCTTCCTACTCCATGAGCATGGTACTCAAAAAAAAAAACACAAAACTTGTTTCTTCAATTTTGCTTTGTTCCTCTTTAATTGTCACTGAGCAGCTGGTTGTAGTTCTCCTTGAAAGAGGTCCTTTACATCCCTTGTAAGTTGGATTCTAGGGTATTTTAGTTCTCTTTCAAAAAAAAAAATGAACAAAACAAACTGAAAACAAGCACACAAAATAAGTTTTTGGGTAATAGAGGGAAAATTAAATTTACCTACTATGATCGTGGCCCATGCATGCTTTAATGTATACATATGGGCTGTGTTACCTATATGCTAGCATTTATATGCTAGTGTTTGGAGTGAAAGGATGCAATTCTTGCTAGAGAGAATGAAACGTTTGCAAAAATTAATATATATGAGAGATGGGATTAATTGGGACCAGTTAAAAGACAACTGAATAGCAATCGATTTTTGGAATATCAGGTTCCACAAAAGCCATTTCCAAGTCTTAGCCATCATGTAGGATCTCGAAGATGACATATAGAGACCGACACAGTACTATAAAAATAAATGGTTCCACAAGTTGTAGATTCAGGTCTCCTACCATCGTGTCCAGCCATCATACTAAGAATTTTTATATTGCAATTATCCATCACATCTCAACCAGCTGTAATATACATGGGTAGATACCTGATTCTAGACAATGTGAACGTTGATTTCTTCTATTGTTCACTCCTACTGTCACCTAATCTACAGATGGCATAATGACTTGAAATAGTATTTTGTGGAACCCTATACTTCCAGACAGTTACTTGCAAATGTCATGCAAGGCCTGGTTTGAAAGATTACGTGGATAATTCATCTAAACATAAGAAACTGCAACTCCACTTCTACTACATACCAAGGAGTAACCCTAGCAGTGATATTCCTCCTTTTCCAAAGGAAAGGACACATAAAGACGGTCCTTGAAACTTTAGGTCATCAAAGACTTTTGTACTGTGATCACTTTTCTATGCTGTACAATTTTTCTGCTGTCATTCCTGGGTAAACTCATCACTGAGATACGTGGACTGTCTTCCCTGGTGATTTAGCAATTGTGTTTTACCCACCAGCGCCCGTGTCTCTCGCTCGACCTTTTCCACCCGGCTTTCTTACCCTTCGTTCGCTCAGGTAAGGTAGCACTCACATAAAACAACTTTAACAAGAAAGGACTATAAACACCTGCACCTAACCCAGAGAATATTTCTAGCACCAGAAACGTAGATCAGGACAGGATTCC